GGTGGGCCGAGTTGGTTCTATTACCCTTCCGCATTAGGTTCGATCGGTCCGTTTTGAGACTCAAACGGAATAGAGCGCCAGGGAGGAAGGCGCAATGGCGGGCCTTACTCACACCCGTACGACCTGTTTGGCCCAGACATTGAAAAGCCACTGGGTTTTGAGTTTCCGGTTGAATTTCTGACTTGAAAGGCTCTTATTTGGCTGTTGCTTAACGGCCTCGTCCGCAAGTCGTTGCTTAATAGTAGCGCTCTCCGGCACTCAAAAGATCATTTCCGTTCAGGGCGGATCCTTCATTCTCCCCTAGAAGGGAAAAGACGCGGGAGCTGTAGGAGAAGCTCCGAATGACCTGACTGCTACAACCTTATGAGGTTTGACTCTTTTATGTGATTCAGGGGAGCGAAGTTCAGGGACCATTAAGAAAAGTGAGAAGAGTGAGTATACAGTCTAGTTATGTAGCTACGGATGATGGGAGCGTCAGTGAGGTTGGATTTGGCGCGGCGACAGCCCGTACTCCACCAGCTGTTGGAACGGGTAAGCGAGAACAACTTGTGGAAAACGAATGGTACGAGCGACAGTCTTCTCGCTCGCCGAAAGGAAAAGAAAACGTGCTGGCGGGGCCTGAGCCAATCCTCCAAAAAACGCCCCCGCAGCGAAAAAGACTGTAAGCAACTCCGAGCACGCTGTTCTCCGAGCTCGAGAAGCAATCCTTTCTCTGCTTCCACCTCTTAACTTTATGCCAATATCGCTTGACTACTGGGCGTTGAGCCTTGGGAATTTTTTGTTAGGCAACAACGCTGCACTGAACATCCAGTCTAGAAGGTGACGTTTGTGTAGGTCTCACTGGGGCCACAGTCAGTGCATGTATTCAGAGAGGACAGGAAATGTCAAAAGGTTCTACAGCGGTTCTACAGCGGAATAGAGCTTTTTTCCTTGGAGCGATTCTTATCCCTTCTTGCATAGCCAGTCAATCCACCCGTTTCTCAAGAACAATCATGCGTGCTTGTAACCCCACATAAAAGTGTTCACTGGAATCTGACCAAAGAAAAATCAACAATCTCACCTCAACGTCGTACTTCTTGGCCCATTCCAGCACGTCCTTTCTTTTGCTCAGCGATTGTCTCGTTCTTGTTGAAGACAATCTTGTAGTACTCCTTCTTGGCTTCCCAGGTCACATTGCGGAGGAATGGCGGCATAAATAATCCCCTAAGGCCTCCGTTGCCGCGACCGCGGTGTTCATCCATGAAAATTGGGAGCGCTGAGTACGATGCCGGCAAAGGCAACGAAGTAGATAATAGTGTTCATTCTGAAATTTCTTTTTCAAATACCTTTAGAATTTAGATACTGATTCTTTCGAAAGTGATGAATAAGAGAGCGTTTCGAAAAATAGTCGAAAGGGATTCTGGGGCCCAGCTGATGAAGCTGCCCAGAACAGCAAAACGAGGATGTTCGAATGGTCCACACAGCAGCTTTTATAGCGCGTTCTCGGATTCTGATCTATGATGATTTCGCCGTGTGAATCACCGCGAGACGGGCGGCATAAATCACAGTACACGTCTCGGGCACTTAAACTAAATTTGGAACTATCGAAATCAATGCTTTATTGCTTTCCTGCGATTAATGAGTGGTAATGACGTTTGTGAGCACTAAAGAGAATCATTGGCATCTGTTAACGCTGGAAGTTACTTACTTTCAATATGAGGTCAGTTAACGGAGTCGGGCAAAATTCAACACAGTTTTTTTTCAAGCAAAGAAGTGCAGAGGCGGTGTAGCGGCAAATAACAGTGACCTTATTAAGCCTGTCCCGGGCCATGACTCCAAAGTCTGCGTCCAGGCCACCAGGCTCTTTTTCCTCAAAAAAAGGGCAATGAGACAGGATCCGTCTATGGGGCAGGATCACGATCCGCACTGGCCCAAGCGTTTCTTCCCTCCGGCCAATGCAAGCCATTGTATAGATCATTTCTCATCCATTTTGATGCTATGTTTCTGAATGAAGATGAAATGCGCGCCGCGTTCCAGAGAAGGCCTGGACAACGGCGGTAGCTTTAATCTTTGTCTTTCACGTCATGTACCTAAAAAGAGGGCACAGGGTCCACTAAGCAAAAGAAGGGGTCGCATTTGACTGTCAGGGAGGAAGCAGGGCTGTAATCAGGGGAAAGATTCTCATGAAGGCGAAAACAATACCTCAGTCAAGGGCCTAATGGGTTTGCGCAGCTCCTGAACAATTAAGTCTCACTATTTGGATGCTTGAAAAGGGCAAAAGGGTTCAGTTCCAGGCGCTAAGAAGCTGCTTTATAGCGGACCTATTAAATTAGGGGCTATTAAACACATTCGATGAAATGCTTTCTTGGCCCAAGCAGGCTGATAAGGCTCTGGCTCCGATCTCGGTTCTGTGACCGTTCTCATTTAGACTACTGGTAAGGAAGAACGATGACAGAGTTGAAGTCCAATCCATGCATTGTGTGGCTCGAAGTTAGACCCTACAACAGAATCTAGCCACTGCTGCGCTTTTTGGTCCGACGGTGCCTAATATTGAGGAAAATAGACACGTCATCAGGACCTCAAGTCCCCTAGCTTTTGTCGGGTTTCCAGACTTCTAGGCTTCTGGCCTTACTTTTCCAACGCTAAAGACTTTAGAGGGTGAATGCTGCAAGCCAGAACCCCGGAGAGCCTATCGATGCATTTGCAGACCTTGAAAGTGGATTCCTTCATATGCCTAACCCCAAAATCGTTCCAGGCAGGGGGAGGCAAATAAAACGCTAGAGAGCTCAGAAGATCTGACCTCTAACTTTCACT